GTACACGATGCCCTATGGTGTATACGAGCGTTCAGGGTTTTGGCGCAATCGTCCTCGCTGCGTTTCGATATCGCTGAGTAGCACTGATTTCGGATTGATTGGTACCCCAGTTGCGGAGTGAAGTACACCCCTGGAATAAAAGTGTCCCAGAAATAAAATATTTAATTGCCTCGGCCAGTTTGTATTATTTGGTACCCCGGGGTACCGCCATAAGAATCAGTTAGGTCCCTCAAATATTTATTTTTGTTCAACGAACTTGTTGTACGTGACTTTTGTTTTGGTGATATTTATCTTTGGACCCACTTTTGCCGCCTTTATAAGTTGTCCCATCGTATCCCGTAGTGAATTACTTTAGGTTATTATATTGACTACGCCATCAGCGAAGTTGAGTTGGTCCATACTAATGCATCCTTCTATTGATTAACATCGATGTATCTGTTTACGATGCATGTATCGAATCCAGTGAGTAAGTGATCCAATATTTTAAGATTTGTACGCTTTGTATTTAATGGTTTCGCATCATTCCTGCAGCAACTAGAGGCGCTAGCGTTCACAGAAACTTAACCAGATATATTAATGTATCGAATTGTGACCCTGATTTGCAACAGTTCATCAAATCGCAAGGAGGACACATTGTTACACAACTAATACAAGAATAAGAAGTTTATCAATGTATCTGTTGTTGCCACAGACTATAATTAATCAATAACACTGGTCAACAACAACAAAAATTCTGGCCTGGACTTTTGCAGCTGTTTTAGACTAATTTCAGGGTGCTGATTCCAAATCTGATCTCAGATTTGCTCTATCACATCTCATTTTATGCTATCGGCATACCCCTTTTTCATTGATTTTACCTGAAATTAACTCTGTCGCTTATGATTGCAAGTAGTTGCGAGTCATTGACTGCTTTAGTGTTAAAATATGGTGCTGTATTTTTAGGATAGTGTGTTTATAATATTTTATGTAGATATCCACATTTATTTAATATTTTTCTTCTGCAGTTTTTATTGAAAATGCAATATTTGATATCTCAAAAACCTGATGTAATAGACAAAAACTGATGCCAGATTTGGAATCAGCACCCCAAAATTACCTTGAAACCGTTGGAATCCGTTATGCCAGAAAAAGTGTTGACCAGTGTAATAAATCTTGCCATGAATGATTACATGAATGATAACATGCAAGACATATCGTGCATTTGCATGGGTTCTGTAACGCTTTCCAGCACGCGTTTATGCTCTGAAGTATTTAATTTGCGACATCACGCAGCACGCGACTTGCGGCATCGTGAGATGATGTCTCGTGTATCGGCGACGTTGGGAGGGGAGGGGAAGGCCAACAAGCGTGCACCCCTTGGCCAGCAAGGCTAATCCTTGTTGTGCTGGAGGTTTTTAAATCCTTTATATTAAGTTCACTTGCTTGCTTGCTTGCTTACGACCGTGCAAATCTTTCGGTCGTTTTTTAACCCACTTCCGGTGATCCAATCGAGCTGACATTTTCCACACAGACTCGTTGTGCGTGACAATTAATGTTCGTGAATTTTTTTTTCCAAAATTTTACACTTTTTAGGACAAAAATATTATATTTAATTACCAATCGCTTAATGGTGCCATGCAATCATCTGACCCATAGGTGGCAGCCATCTCAAGCCAGAGGACGAGAGGACTCTAGCCGCCACGCATATAAAGGATTTATAGTGAAACACTTTATTTTTACGGGTTATACTTGTTTTGTTTGCCAACTATTTGTGAGACCTATTGATCGATATGACTGGTATTCTCAACGGTTAGCCTCTTACAGTAACGCAACGTTTTTTTTTACTAAAAATGTTGTTTCGATTTAAAGCTTTCGTGACTGCAGGGATTCATCTTCTTGGTTCTTTCGGTAAAGTCACGTAGAAGGGAAGTAATAAAATAATAAAAATAAAACATAATAAAATCATTCTCACAACGTTTCGGCCACAACGTAAGCAGCCGTCCTCTTCACCTGAAGTGGGAGCCAAAGTTGTATTTTTGATGTAATAAATTCAATCCTTTTCTCCATGTTCAGTTCTTATCCAGAATGAAACTAACAAAAACATGTCTCACACATAAATTGAATGTAAATTAGAAAACAATTCTAGTGACATTTGTGGCAGCTTTAACAGCGTCTACCCTTGAAAATGTAATTTTGTTTTCATTTCGCTGACCAAGGCTTTGCCTAACCAAGCATGAAAATGCCATCGGGGGGTGCAGGTGGCAAGGGAATGCGCACGGCTACAGTTGCAGTGAGCCGGTTAGCTTCATCAGGGGGCCTGACCTGCCATACTACAGTCTGTCTGTTACCTTGCCTGTGTTATCGTCTTTGCTCGCTCTTACAGTGACACTTTTTTTTGTCTGTGCAGGATCTTGTCCTGAGGCTGTTTGTGTGGTGCGTAGCTGGCCAGTCAGGCAGCCAGACAGCCGAGCCAGTCCGCTAGCCAGAGCTCTGTTCCTTGCAACCCTCCCATTGCCAAACCTCAGGAATGCAGTAGGGACGAGATGTTCCGGATTCAGCTGTCGGGTGCGTGGGCTTGGGTTGCTCGAAGGGGCTGACGAGAAAACGGACAGTCGGTTTACGTGGAGATACAACCACGGCAAGCGCTGCGCTGCTTGGCGCAAAGATGAGATGGGAAATCGTGAAATAGCCTTCGTGGGCTCAACTTGTGATCGCTGTGTACCAGTAACCAAGGCTAGCTGTCAAAAGCTCCAGGCATTCTGTGGTCAAAGGAAGGCCGCTCTTTTCTCCATTGCTGTCTCAGTTGTCTGGAATCCTCTCTGCCTGGCCCTCTGTGCAGCTTTTAGCGCCTTCCCCTGTTTAAGATCATGTTCAAAACCATCCTCTTCTCCTCTCCCTATAACGGACTTTCCATTCTCGGTGAAGTTTCTTTATCGGCACCTTTCCCCCTCTACACTGCATCCCCTTATCGCCACCCAGTTTTTTTTAATGTCTTTTTTTTCTAACTACCGCAAAATGTACGCTCCCCCCCCTACTTTGTGCCGAGTCTTTGGATGCGGTCTTAATTAGACGCTTTATGAGTCCAAATTGTTTCACCCTCTACATTTGATAATTTTGTGATTATTCTTTTATTAAATCACAAAATGTAATCTTGTCACGTGATGGTACGACCAGCGCCCGTAGTTTGCGGCGATTGCCATTCTGTGCTTTGTGTCTGCGGTGGCAGCGAGGCACGGATGTTTACTTCTGCGACGGCCCTTTGAACGACGACGTCAATTTGTCAGCGCTGGTGCCGTTTATCCTAATAGTGCAGACTCTTAGCGGTGTAGCTGCGTTTCCCGAACGTATTTATTCATTGTTTTACAGCGTAAAGATAGCCAACCCATAGCCTGCTTTGAGCCAGCCAACGCTTAAGTGCTGTACAGTACTTTACTTGGTAATCAATATTCAATAGACCAGTAATTTTCTATTACGGTGGTACAGTGGTTGGCACACTGCACTATGCACCAGGCGACCTGAGTTTGATTCCCAGCCAAAGCTTTCATACGTGGCAAGGGTTATCTGAACCAAACCTCGGCTTCCACTTCACCAAACCGCACTGACCAGCATGGTGAAGTATGGTCAAGTAACCCCCATGGCCGTATGTTAACAGAGGGCTGGAAGGACTATCATTGTTACGCCATGTAACTTAACTTGAGAGTCGTAGCAAAGAGCATTCTTGGTTATTATATCATTCCGCGATTTTATTTATATTTTCTTGGAGGCTAAATCGTTTTTATTGGCAACAACAATAATACACCATTTTTGGGACGTTTGCAATATACACAAAACTTCCATGGGGGAATACTTTGCATACATTCACTGATTAAATGTGGAGAAATCTACCATTGCGTGATTTTTTTTTGTTTGACAGTTTTTTTTTGCTTGTGAAGGGACTACAGCGTGTGTCAGTGTTAGAGTGCCCTCTCATGGAAATTAGAAAAAGCAAAGGGACAGGTCATACTTATTATCACATCACAACGTAACTTTATAATTATCAGAGGTGAATGAAATTCGAATCCCACCCCCCCTCCCCCCAATTCATCATCAATTCACACTGATGAATATGGTGAAGTATGATGAGAGTGCATTACAGTAAATTATTCCTATAAAACTACGACTAAAGCTATTTTTATTTTGCCAGGTAAGGCCCATATTTACTTGATAGCAGCCAAATGCTCTTCATGCACGCTGGTTATAAATGTGAAGGGTAAACCCGAAGGACCCGGAGAAAAATCCACACAACCATGGGGAGAGAGAACATGCAAACTCCAAATATACAGGCATCAGGGTTGGGATCGAACCCACGACCTCCTGTATACCAGGCTAGGTAATTAACGTCTCACCACTGTGGCGCCCCAATCCTCAAGACCGACACAGCACGGGGAGGTATTTCATCCACGAAGGACTGACAAATGTCCGTAAATTATACAGCAATCAAGGACACCGATGTCCGTAGGCGAGTAACACGAGTGTGTAATCAGGAAGAGGAGATTACGGTCATTGGGGAACATGTTGTGAGGCTGCAGAAGGGGATAGACCACTGGCGTAGTTAAGCACTGAGAAGACTTGAAGCTTCACCTTAATTTCGTTTAACTAGGTGAGAACTTAAGAAACCAGGTAAGTCTCATTTGCAAGATTGATCTGGGTCACCAACATCATAAACGCAAAATAAAAAAGTATAGCAATGAAGCAAATGTAAATGGGTATCAAAACAACTGTGGCACATGAGAAATCTAAAATATTGCACCCCTGTGTCGCGCAGTTTTTTGTTGTGACTTGGAGATGGAATCATGTGGCCGTGTAGTGCGCATACCTGATGGACTGGACTCGTACGAGTGCGAGATAACAAGTGTTCTAATTTACTTCGTGTGTAACATGCTCATTCTAGCAGCAGCATCCATGCAGACAGACTAAAGGTGAGCACGCTACCATTCTAGCGGTGAGCGTACCTTGCATTCACGCCTGCACGTCCATTGCAGGATGACGAGGCCGACCTATCGGCATCTCCTCCGGGAACTCCTGACCTGCCGCCCCCAAAACCCCCACGTGTCAAAAGGTAACTTGTGTCCATCTTCTTGGTTCTTTCGGTAAAGTCACGTAGAAGGGAAGTGATAAAGTAATTAAAATAAAACATAATAAAATAATTCTCACGACGTTTCGGCCACAACGCAAGCAGCCGTCCTCAGGTGAAGACCACCACGCTTGGAGCGTCTATTTAAGCTGGGTTGGAAGGGGGGAAGTGCGCCTTGACAAAATAATTTGCATATCAAGAGGAATTTAGCATATTCATGGGAAATGCAGGAATGTGATTAGTAATACTTGTGAAATGCGTAGGAGGTGGGCGGGGGGTTTTCAAAGTCATATGCCCGTGCATTATGCAGGATTAGCAGCATCAAAGGGAGGGGATAGGGGTAGCATTAATAAAGGGAAGGAATGTTAATAGTATGTAGCTGCAGTAACTAAACAACCACGTAAAAAACTCAAGTATAAACTACATAGTATCATCAGTATACTAAATATACTCTCAATAAGCTGAGCTACTAACAGTAAGTAATACATTACAATTCTATGTCGCAAAAAAATATAATATGCTTCCAGCTAAACTTTTTTCCTTATATCACACGGGTCTATCCCGTGTGTGTCCAGTTGAGTTAATTTCACCTGGCAAGCAAGAATACAAATTCATAAGCTTCTGTGTTGGTGTGGCACTCGCAGTTGTGCCCGTGTTTGCTGCTTGTGTGTACTCACTGTTGTTAGATTACTTCTATGATCTCAAGTCAGTGCTCCCTGCTTTCACCCAACCCATACTGGCCGGCTTGGTGCCACGTCTCTAGATGTGGTCGATTTGGATGCTTCACATTTTCAAATTGTATTATTGTGTATTGGCTGTATACAGGCCACTGTATCCCCAAAACTCAATGCTCACATCTATAAATCCCTAAGCCACTCGGTTGAATTCCATTGACTCCTGTTTGTATTAGGATGCTACACACACACACATAAAAAAGTAGGGCCATGCAGTACCACACAGCAATAAGGCTTTACTGAAAAATATATTTGGTCACACTTGCATAACAGATGGCATACATATGTGCATGCAAATGATTGGCAAGCACGAATGCCATGTTAGGTAACAGTCTTATCATCAGTTCCACTCATTGCCTCCAAAGTCATGTGTCTTGGGTGCCACGCTGTTGATATAATTCTGCTGGCCTTGGCCACTGAAGCTAACCTCATGATATAAACCATCGGTTCGTAAACTTTGCTCACTTGGCATACCACCGCTTAAACAATATATAATCTCATGGACCACCAGTAAAGTTTTCATATTACCCAACTGAAGTCTTTTTAAAGAACATAAAAAATATTTTATTCAAAAAGCCAATGGTTACATTATCAATCACACTGTCGAATATAATTAAAATATAGTCTCAAAATATACTCTACTCTTAAATTATGCATACGTATACATATAAATACGCACATGCAACTCCTGCCTACCTGACTACAAATGGGCACTTACGTGCATGTATTCAAAAATTCAAACTCACTGATGCATGATTGCAGGATATCCACACACGCATGCCGACTATTCAGTGTGCCACTTATAGACTGCTTGCGTACCACTCGCCAACTGTTTCTGTACCACCAGTGGGTACTTGTGCCAAATGGTGGGAACCACTGATGTTAAACCATCGAACGCGCAACGCAAGCCGGTTATCATCGCTGCACGTGTTTGACCTCGCCACCTCGCCGGCACGGATCCCACTTATCGTGCGCGCGTTTGTGCGCGAGCAGTGCGGCGCAGCGGGACGAGGCGGACGTGATGGAGGAGATCCTGCAGCCGCCACGGCCCATCCCCGTACCGCCCGTCATCTCCCCGTCGGTGCCCGCCGGCTTCCTCACCATCTCGTGCGTGTGGCAGGACCGCAACGACCGCTACCACGCCGACGCCACCGAGCGCTACCACGAGCGAGACGCGACGGGCACCCCGGCGATTTGTGAGACGGGCGGCTGCGGGGGCACGGTCGAGGGTTCCGACTCCGACGGCAACGCGTCGGGCGACGCCGATTGCGCGAGCAAGGCCGAGAGCTCGGCGGAAGAGTGCAGAACGGAGAAGTTTAATGCCGCCAACAAGGCCGCGGGCGACGGCTTCGGCGGTTCAGGGAGCAGAGTTGTGGAAAGTACGTCCCCTTGCTCGGCGGAGACCCTGGAAAACCACGGCCAACAGCGGTTGGACCTGAACAAGAATTACACCAAGTTCACGGGCAGTGTGTCCAATGCCAACATCTCGGCAGAGAGACCCATTCACCTGGAAGTGGCTCCCCCCGAAGACGACGACAACGCCCCGCTCGGCAAGAAGCCGTCGGCGGAGAGCGCCGGCGACGAAGCCGCTTCTGTCGGCGGCCCGGACGATGACGGTAATTCTGCAGAGACGAACGCCAGAACTATAGACCTTGAGTTGAAACGGAAGGAGAACAGGCTGGCGATCGAGGTGAAGAAAGTCCCCCGACCAGAGACCCTCAAGAGCTTTGAGTTGGCAGCCGCCCCCACCCCGAGCCGAGCCACCATCACGCCCGTTTGGAAAGTGTCCGGGCAAGAGGAGTGCAGAGGGACGGCCGTGGATGGCAACAGAAATGTTGAGGTCAATCAGAACGCCTCCGTCCCTCCTAACACTTCGAATGTTAAACATTTCGTGCAATCCATAGACTCGAAACCGAACGTCGGTTCACGAGCCACTCTCTCTGTTGAACACATCAGAAAGCGGGCCGTGTCTCCCATCGGATTTCATCCCGGACAATCTAACGTCAGATATTCCAGCGTGAGCGCTCCGCAGCCAAAACCGGGCAGCAGCGCCGTCGAGAAATTCAACGCCCACTCGACAAACCTCAACGTCGTGTCTTCGGCTCAGCTCGGTACGAACGCACAGACGGGCGCGCCGAGCCCCGCCAGCCCCCAAGACAAAGCGGCGCAGCAGCAGAGCGCGGAGGCGACGAGGAGGGGCGAGCCAGACGAGGGCACGGCCGCACGAACCCTCGACGGGAGCTCGCTCGCCGACAATCAACCGCTGCCATCAACTGCCGCCGTGGAATCGATCCACGCTCCCGACCCCGACTCGCAGGACTCAAAGGCGGAGCCGCATCTACACGCGGACAGAGGGCCGCATCGGCCCTTCGGCGAGCAGACAAACGTCGCCGCCGCTTTGGCGTCGGGCGGCGTGGACAATTTCAAAGGCAAGCAGACGAACCTTGCCAAGAGCACGGTTGTTCCCGTGGGAAGCGACGGTCGCTCTCGAGATAAATCGTGGCGGGACGACGTTGGATGCGTCGCCGCAGGCAAGGAAAGCGCGCCTGCTCCCGCGCGCGCGGAGGAGGAGGAGGTCCCGGGGGACACGCGTGCGAGCCACAGACTGCTCGATCTGTCGCTCCCAGACAAAGAGACCCTCTACGCTGTCGGCGTCGTGGCCTCTTTCCGCAACGGTGAGCGGCGGCAGAAATAATCTCCTTCCCACTCGCCTGCTCAGTTTTTGTTCTTGAGATGGTGATGAATTGGCTTGAAATGATGCATCCCACCCACATTCCACCTCCCTCCCTGCAGTAATTTGATGAACCGTCACAATTCGGTGTTGTGATTCGAATCCAGAAGCAATGTTTTTTGGCCTCTTTTGTATTGTTTTTTTTTGTTGTTGCACAGATTAGCTTGCTTCATTCGCTTAAATGAAAGTTTAGCATTACATTTGCATTTTCATTTAACAAATTATTTTCACACGCACCAATGCCTTGTGTTGCAGTGAGCGTAAGAATCTATATTGCATGAATCAATATTCATCGTTTACAGCAAACGCATCCTTCATTGCTTCAACTCCTAAAATGAAGGTGCACATCCGCCACGATCGTTATTTTGCAAGCGAGATGTTTACGCCTGCACAATAGTTGTGATGCGTCTGTTGCAGATGCTGCCTTTAAAGGCTCATTAGCGCCTGCTGAGCGCACAGACTGTGTAAGCCACCCAGCGAACAAAGACCCCGATAAGGGTACGTAAGCCCCTGTGCATCCTTGCGTGCATGTAAATGATTGCGCACCGTTCTGCATGCTTGTGTCTGTGATAGCGGACTCGGTAGTGCAGTGGTTGGTGCGCTGTGCTACGTTTCTGGCGACCCCAGTTCGATTCCCTCTCGCGGCCAACACCAGTGACGATTTTTTTAACCGGTCTTGGGCCTCCAGTAGGTCGACTCAGCCTCAAATGAGTAGCTGGTGCAGCGTGTAAATATTGCCACAAGGGAGACAAATGTGCCCTTGCGTGGTGCTGGCCACCCACCCCATCATGTGCTGTGCCGGCCTTAATAGATGTTCGATAACAACATTTACCCCAACAGTCTGTTAAGGCTATACGGGGGATCTTTGTATTTGATATCGACCTCACTCGCACAGTGGCGCAGTGCACACTCAATACATCACGACACCCTAAGCGTTTGACAGCGTCAAATATATAACAGGGGCATCATAAAAACACACAGTGCAGCAACAGCAGCCTTATGAGCATCACCTCGTTGCTTCGCGTATTGCTGCGTGCGGGCTTGTTACTGCTTGCATTCAGCCACTCTTAACGGCAGCTGTCCTCATAGTAACGTTTTATTATATCACAACAGCGTGTATTAAGCAGGCCTCTGATTCATGACAGTGGCGTAAAATACTTTGCAACACACGAGTCACTCACAAACGCGTTAGCACGTCAACCCATTAATGCGACTGCCTCGCAGCGCTTTTGGGAGGCATCCAATAAGATAGTTTTAAATAGGTTTTTTTTGCGAAAGAGTGCCTGCAAAATGTCTCTGTCATGGGGCGGAGCGGTGGTTTATAAAAGTGCATTGCTCACAATCAACACAGTTGTTCATTGTAGGGTTCCTTTTACCATGTTAGTATGTATACTGAACTTCTTTCGCACCGTACGTTATCGAAGATGCGGGGGAAGGACAACAACTTAAGCACAAAGAGCAGTTCTAAAGAAAGGAGTTTTCAATCTAGATTATTTAAAAGCGCATAGCTCCAGTGGCTTCCTAATATCGGAAGGAGGATCGTTCCAGACAGCCGCAGAAGCGCATCTGAAAGCGCGTGATGCAGTGACCGTCTTTTGGGGTTGTTTGAGATCACCATACTGAACCACATCAGTCAGTGCAGCTTCGTGAAGGGGATGCTTAGATCCGATTCAGATATCACAAGCTACCATTTGTCGAGTAATAACTCCGGTTGCACGTCGACGCAGCTTGCTGTCCTTTGGCGATCGATAAAACAAGAACCACCGCGTGGGTTCTCGCAGTTGTGCAGTCGCGCTGTCCGATGTGGTTTCTGGGTTGTACCACGTGTTGTTAAGCACAATGTCCGACGTTTCGCTCCGCGCGCGAAACGTCGGACATCATGCCAAACAACACGTGGTACAACCCAGAAATTGCATTGGGTGAAATAAGTATCACTTTGTGGGAAATCGATACCGCGTGTCGTTTGGGATGACTGTCCCCTGTCATAGGGATTGTGGAATTTTCTCCACTCGCTATGGGCTGTAAACGGGAGATGAGTGCCACCCAAGAACGGGAAAGCAGATGGACTGTGTTGACCTGGAGAATGCGCCTGTGGGAAACGTGCATCCTCAGTGCAGTCTGGGCACAGCATGCGGTTGCACATTTTAGGGGCATTTCCTTCCAAATGAGGCTATTGTTGTGGCGACCTTGCACTTTGTAATTTGGCCACCTATTTATATGCGTGCACGCGACCTACGTTAAAAACCGGGTGGTACACTCCAGGCAGCAACATCGTGTTTTTCTTCCTCCTCTCCCTCCCCAATTATTGTTGTGGTGGCCTTGTATTTTTCCAATTGTTGTGCCAGACCTATAATTAAAACTGTGTGTGCCCATGAAGATAACAAGTGTGTATTATATGGCCATGTCACAAGTACTTGGACAAATAATGTTTGGTTTACATGATGTAGAGACACTCGCCTCGAAATCACAGCGCTTCTTGGTTAATTGGAAATAGGCTTAATTTGCAGGAAATAGGCTTAATTTGCAGTTGTAAGTGAGAGTGCTAATTGAGTGTCGAGCCTTCGATTTAGTGGGCTAATGCAGCAGTGCTGAGGATTAGCTGAAAGGCGATTGATGAATGACTGTTGAACGTGTGTTCTAAAGGCAAGGTAGGGGTAGCGTAGTCGTCCGTGCACTCCACTGAGCTATATTCCATGGAGTTGATGGTGCAGTTCCCATGATTGCAATATAATTTCTGCAGGGAATCACCCAAGGAGCCAGGAGTGCATTTTCAATACCAAGTGACATCATAAGCAACAGTAAAGTGTTGAGAGCCAACATCATTCGACAAAGGGCCCAGATTAGAAAAATTACGCATTACCTGGCGGTAACAATAGTGCAATGGTTCCCACACCATACCATGAACCCGGTGACCTGAGTTAAATTCCTGGCCATGGCTAACATCTGTGGCAAGCAATAACAAGTGTGGTGAAGTATGCTCAAACATCCCCCACAAATGTCATAATCTGGGGAGGCTTTGATCCAGAAGTGGAATGACAACAAGCTGCGCATTACATTGCACGTTATTAAACAATTAAAATCAATGCGCATTTCCCATTACATGATTACTCCATATAGACCAAGCCACCTTTAATGCGCCGGATTTCATCAGATCTTGCGATTGAACATTTGGATGGGCCTTGTAGGGGTGGGGAACTGATGGTACAATGGGCGGGTGGTGGATGGCCACGTGTGTTCGTGGTTTCAGGAGGAGCCACGTTGCAGGAGAGCCCGGAGAGCCCTCGCCCAGCTGCCCAGGCTCCACGCAGCCCAACGCAGCCACCAGCTGCTGAGGCAGCGCACACGAGCAGGCTCGAGGTGAGGACTGTGATACTCCCACTGTTTAACACGTGGGAGGACTTTCGCGAACAATATTATTCATAATAAAGGTTTTTGGGTTAGATCGCGTTATTTATAAATGTGTCGTAACCCTCCACCACCCGACACGGCCAATCGGCAAAAAAGTGTCACGTTGACAAAGGACAAATAGTTCACTACTTTAGCCCACCGGTGCGTTGAAGAGTGAATCCACAACATTTAAAATTTTTGAGTACGACGTTTCGCTGGTAATTACCATTCTGCCGAATTGCCCGATGATGCTGGATGTAATTACCAGCGAAACGTCGTACTCAAGAATTGTAAATTGTTGTGGATTCACTCTTCATCACACCGGTGGGTTAAAGTAGTGAACTATTTGTCTTTTGTCAACGTGACACTTTTTTTGCTGATTGGCCGTGTCGGGTGGTGGAGGGTTACAACACATTTATAAATAACGCGATCTAACCCAGAAATCTTTATTATGATACTCCCACTGCATTAACACTGAGAGAGAGCTCGAGGTGAGCACTGCAATACTCCCTGGTTCGCCCCGCACCTCCAGTATCACGGTTGGCTGCGTACGGTGCGAAAGACGTTCAACACGTGTACTGGTGTGCTTTGTGATAATCCCATACCCACTGAGAGAGCTCGCGTGCATGCTTTATGGATCCGTTCACGCAGCGTGCCAGGAATGTTGAGTGTGTACAAGGTGCTTCCAAAGTCACGAACCAAAGCGATTTCAGGTAATGGTAGCAGGTTAAGGTGCAGCCCCGCAATTACCTGCTCGTGCCACTGCGGACACAAGGGCCTCCACTAAAATTAAGCCGATGTAGGGTTTTTATTTTGGCCTACGCTGGCCAAAGTTTTGGAAGGGGCGGTGGGGGTTATCCACACCTTACCCCACGGTGTGTGAACTGTCGATTGACTAACCCTGGCGAACACAATTTAACCACGTGGGCTTCCATGACCAATATTCACCGTAAAGGTTTTTGGGTTGGATCGCGTAAATATATGTGCGTCGTTAACCAACCACTGCCCGACACAGCCAATTAGTACGGTTTGTCATGTGAATAAAACGTGCGAATTAACTATTAATTCAGCACATCGGTGTGATGGCGAGTAAACCCACAGCATTTACAATTAAGTACGACGTTTCGCTGGTGATTACAACCACTCGCAGAGATGATGTCGTCTTGCTCTGCGGAAGACTTCTTCACAATTCTGGCAAATCGCCTGATGAAGCTGGTTGTTATCACCAGAAAAACCTAGTGAACCCATTTATACTGCTGGATGGACAGAGGCCGTGATTGGAGGTGGAGGTGTGGCCGGAGGAAGGAGGGTGATAATTAAGAAACTTGGCCACTATTTCAACGGCCACGTGCTGGGAGTTCGAACAGGCAACCTCTGGATTGTGGGAGTCCATTGTGCTAACCGTTACACGATGGCAGCGTGCAGGGATTTCAGGGCCGTACTGTTCATACCGAGGGTGCTACCGTGTTAGTTACCTCGCCTGGTTTACAGGAGGTCGTCGTGGGTTTGATCCAAACCCTGACGCCTGCTGTATATTTAGAGTATGCATGTCTATCTTCCTGTGGTCGCATGGAATTTTCTCCGGGTCTACAGGTTTTTCCCTCTACATTTTGAATCATGCGTTTATAGTATTTGGCTGCTATAAATTTCCACACAAGCCACTTCGTTGGGGTTCTGAAAAAGAGCTATACAGCTCAATGGGCCTTACCTGGTAAAACAAAAAAATATTTAGTTTTTATTTTGTTTTATCCTGGCGAAAATTCGAGCTTTGTGTGTTAAGATCATTGTGGAGAATGTTCAGGCACCCTATGTGAAATTTATTGAGATGTGCCTCTGTATGTATGTACGTATGTATGTTGAACTTCTTTCAAACCGTGCGTAGCCAACCGTGCTAACCGGAGGTGCAAGCTATCATTTCCTATGCAGGCGTATGGTTCCTGACTTTTGCCGCACCCTGGTTGTAAGTGATAAAAAATGCTTTGTTTAGTGGATGCAATTAAATTTCATTATTTTATTTGCTGAATGCAGGGTTCTGCTTCGAAACCGATCAACGATCCTGGTACGTGTCGTTTATAATTACTATTGAACACTGCATTGCATTCACATGAACGGAAGTACAGAATTGTGTTAATGCTCTAATTAGCGTGCGAAAGTAATATTCAGAATTGTAAACTTTATAGAGGGTCATCTTATATTATTTTAAATTATATCGATAATGTTCGGTTGGGCAACTTGGTGTGTTCCTATCATGATATAAATGTAATCTCAAAACACGGTCATCAAAGATACAATTCATATTCAACCATGTAATGTTGTTTAAGGTTTCTCTCATACTTCTAGACTTTGCCGTCATCGGCTAAGCGTTTACAAACGTACTAGTAACAACTTTCACGTGTAACGTAAATGGCGCGGGATGTTTTTGTTTCTGCAAATGTTATTTGAATGCCCCAGTATATTTACTGAAAGTATCGACTCACTTTGTCACTGCAGAATCCCTGGCTGCCCGTGGAGATGAGGCACAGCATCGAGTCTGAAAGAGCAGGGTGAGTGCCACCATCCCATCTCGTCTCAGCGTTACTTTTGAAAACGTCAGCAGAAGAAGAAAATGCATCTCGAGGGCTCGTAGCATTTAAAACAATTGGAATAATAGGCATGTAACAATTAACACGACGGACAAAGAAATTCGATAAACTTTCACGAAATGGGTTCACGAGGTTATTCAAGAATTGTTTTGTTATGTGCGTGTTGTTTGCCATCTCATTTGTAACGCTTATTGGGTTTTTTCTGACTCATTTGTATATATTTTTTGCTGCATTCACCTAAATATATCGGAAAATTATTGTTGTAAAATGTGCATGAATTGGAAATAATGATTGTTGCACACGCGAGTTTGACGCACGTATCGTGAGCGTAAGAATGGATGGTTTACATGCTCACGCGATGGCATCGCTCATTTGCGGACGCACATTTGAAGGGGGGGGCCCGCTGGGGCTAACATCTGAAAAACCTACGAGTTTCTTATCGAGAGCGAAGAAACTCGTCCCATTCCCCTGCATCTGTTTTGCGTTGTTGAATCTAAATGCCGCCCACCTGTGTGTAGACCAGCAGCCAAAGCCAGATAAATCCACTGTCCCATGAGCGAGATCTAGAAAGGAGCGGGCATCTGACAAAGCGAGCACCGCCCCCCCCGCTCCTCCTCCCTTGAGTTAAACCCGCCTCGTGCACGTTTGACCCACTTCATGACATCATCCAAGTAGCCGAGAGCCTCACTCAGGAGATCGGAGATTACTGCTCACTTTAGCAGCTCTGTGTCGATCTGCATGACATCATACCCATGGCGATGGAGAAGTCACGGAGGATTAGGCCGAGAAGAAAGGAGCCTACCCAGGCGGATGAAACTTATTAAATGGATCGACATTCAAAAGATGCATAATAAGGCCTCAAATTACTCCCCCCGGTGGGGAGAGGGTCAGATCGTGGGCGGCTGGCGGCGGTTATTTAAGAGCGGCATGTGGTAGGAGAGTCATTGGTCGGCGTGGTGGGAGAGTTGGTCGGGTGGCTCAAAGGTCAGAACAGTCGGCTGCCACCGTTGACAATTTGGGTTCGAATTGGAACGGTTGCCTGCGATGAAGCAAGTTAAAGGTCTCAGCCCGGTCAACATGGACTGCACAACAAAAATCCTTTTCTTATTTAGTGTGTCTTTTTTACCCTCTTTATTCGTCCAAATATCAACTCTGAAATTAATAAATGCTGATTTCGCCATCATGCAATGAACATTAGCCTCGGTGGCAGAGTAGGTGGACACGTACCATCCCCTGCTGTGCAGAACGGAGTTCACTAGAAATGATATCTATTTCTGTGGACTGTTCTCTAACTGGGAATGGTTGCACTGCTCCATATGATTCTGGCAGCACGATCGAGATCAAATTTGGAAGAAAGTAATTTATTTTGAAAATCCGCCGTAGGCAGGAAACTATCATGGGGTCAGTGCGCGCCACATGCTGCTCTCAGCTCTCGCGAGGGAGGCTTACCTGCTGCGCACTAGAAAGCCGGTACCTGTTTATGGAAAACTACAGATCGCCGCGTTGGGAGATTACGGCTCGTAATTCCGTTCCCAGCGCTTTACGGTTTCTGACACCAGGTGGGAAGGCTCCGGCCAGGCCTGGCCATGGCCCGGCCCCCGAGGGTGCTGCAGTGGATGGTCACCGGGTCGTTCAGTGTTTGTGTGCCAAAAATAATGAGCCGGCAAGCCCTGCCCTAACGGGTTCTGCAAGCTATGCCGTTGTGCGCCGTTTGTTTATGCGACTCCTGTTTTGCTGCCCGTAGCTTGCGGGCCAGTGCTGCAGTAATCCGGCGGGACCAAGAGAATCCAGCCAAAGCTTGAGCAAGCCCTGCCGTAAAGGTGGACCACACTCAATGCCAGCAGCATACCTCTGCCTTGCTGCTGAGACACAGGGTCTGCTAATCATTCGGTGATGTACTGCATGACAACAAATGAGACATTTCATCCAAGATGCAGGACGAGATTTATTAGATTACATATTTTATTTTGGGGGCTCCAATCTACTTAAAAGCAACCAAATATTTTCAACCAAACATTATAACATTGTTACGTGTTTTAATTTGCTCCGTGTAAGTCAATATGCTTCGACTGCCTTGTCCGGTGTGTTTCAGGTCAATGTTAATGTGCACTCTGTTAAAATGCAGACCAGGATAATAAGAGTTTATTTAGACATTCTACAGTACATTCATTATTAATAATAATACGACAAAAACAATCTTGGTCCTGTGATCAAATCGCAACGGCTGTTTGACTGACCGTGGCACGAAGCAGCAGACCCCCCCACCTCACGTCCAACACGAAGTCGAACTTGTGACCTGGAAAGCGCCGCTCTTTCCCTGAACCGGTACTGTGGTGCGGCGCGCGACGCAAGGAAAGCACAGTGCAAGCGGGAAGATTGAAAAACTGCCCAAGGATGTTTTTTGTACTAATAATTAAGCAGGTATTTGTGCGACAATCAAACCGTATGGTAATGGATTAAAACGTAATAGATGATCGTGATGGACTTGAATAAAAAAAAAAGATAAAGAAATGTTTGACAGTTCCTTTGTTCGCAAACGTATTGCGTGTTATTTTTGAGTATTGTATCCGCTTGACTGTTTGGTCATGTTTTAATATGCATTTTTTTTTATATAATGTGGAACAGTATAAAGCAATAACCTGTTCATTCCATCAGATATTTTCGAGTGCTATTAACTAATGGTCAGCTTGTTGTGAAATGCAGTACTGTCCTTGTACACGATAGTCTGGCCAACTGCCATAATATACTAAGTTATTCATATTTGGACCATGTTGTTATCTGTATAGCCCAGCTGATTTTTAAATAGCATTATCTGCCGAGAAGCAGAGTTTGGAAGACAGTAGTGCACACAAGCGTTCCGATTTTCCCAAGTGTGCCGGAGAAGGGGTGGGGGGGGGGAAGTAAACATAAAAAGACAAAAACATTAAGCTGTGCATAATATAAATAAACAACTGTTGGGAACATTTGCGGTATTTGAAATGGAAGTTTACCGCATAATAATGAGAACATATATAATTCAGAAAAAAATGCATTTTTAAATTTGTTAGCAAAGCATGGGTCCTGAGAGACTGGGAAGGTGTTTATTTAGGTGATGGCTGGAGGAAGAGGGGGCAGTACCTCTCCTCTGGCCGGGTTAATGATCCAACCACAACCAAAGGTCAGGTTACGTGTGAAGGGGAAGCGAGTTCAATTCTGTGCACCAACTGCGCTCCTCTCCCATGGACCGCAGTGCCGTTTGCTCCCCTGTTAAATTCGTTGTAATCTGTACGTATTTATTTCAAATGTGTTTTTCAGCGTTAAAGGTGCACAATTGGCTTAGTTTTTTGACACGGGCACCAGCACAAACGCCGTGGCTTAGCCCTGTTGTTAGAAACGCCTCCCATTTTCTTTAGACACTTGATGGGCTTTCAGGCTTGTGTCCCACTTCACCTTAAATGTTGTAGTAAACCATACTATGCCGAGTATATACTGACAGTGGCCCAAAGATTTCAGAAGCCAACACCTATATGAAGGTACGCGGTCTTCATGGACTTGCCTTTACACGTATACGTATGGAGAGCGCACGGTAGCTAACGATCATTCCCTCTGAATTCATTTGGCCACTTTCATTTGGCAATAAATATCCTTTCTTCACAACTCTGCGCGGGTGGAACCATTTATTTTCTTTCGTCGTCTTCAGTCATAACGGTATTACTTTATTGTTTTATGCTAGTCTTACCAAAATGGAAATTGTTTATGTAAGTTTTGTATACTGTATTGTGTTTTTTTTCCATTTTTTTTGGAACTTGGGGAGATTGTTTTTAACTCGAGGGGGAATGTGGTGTAGGATCTGACGGCAAATCGGTTCGTCCCTGGGCTGTATAGGATGATCTTTATCCTAATGTCAAAAAGATGTAAAGAAGTCTCATGCACAATCAATATAGATGTATTCATCTGTGCCTTTGTAAAATATTAGATTTTTTTATACATGCGGAAAAGAAAATTATAAATAAGTTGTGTTTATTGGAAACGAAACAACACATTAAAAACAACATTGACTTTCAAACTTTTGGATTTCTCCAGGAACGTTTTTGGGTATAACAAATTCACTGCATATTTAAGAGTTATTTTTATATTATCCACAGATACGCTTAACACGCCAACCTGGAATTACCAGCGATCTTGTTAGAATCGATCATGAAAACTGCTTCGTCCGCAAAGAACAATACTGCATGTTTCTACAATAATGCCTTTGTTCAAATATCTTTCCCACAATCTTAACTGCACACTGTCCGAAACTATTAACAAATAAACACCAATTTTAAAAAAGTGAATTTGTGTACATGGTTGTGTTGTTTTACCACCAAATCTCCCTTTCCTACATAGGCGATGTTGTGCATGATAATAATGAATACCAAAATGCATTCAACTGAATTTGGTGCGAAACATGCAGCACAATGGAGCTAAAAGATTCTCACTTTCCCAAATACGCGGGCCAATGTAAACAGCGCAGTGTTACAGGCGCGAGTGTGAGAACGATGTGAATTATTTCAAAGATAAATTCCCTCGGATTAATTGTTCGGGGAGGGGCAAGTTTGGATATGTTTTAGCGTGGCCTGTTGCCTGTCGTCTCATTCATCAGTTCCTGTGCCAAAGAGACTGCACGGGCATTTGTAGAGCTTAAGTCATTGGCTCGGAGTCATTCATGCGTACGGACTAAATGGATGGCCCCTAAAGTATCAAGAGCTCGTGTTTTATCAAAGCGTTCACTTTAAATGCCCACCTCCTGCAATCACCAACCATGTTCTAACCACTGCTGGATGAGAGACCCTCGAAGCCGTTGCTATCTCTCGCGGGTGTTACGATGCACCAATCCATCCGGCACCTGCGCATGTGCTCACATCGCCGCATTTCAAGCCGCCCCGACCAATGTATGTTTGAACGTACTTCAATGTTGATGGTACTTCAACCACGCTGATCATTGCGGATTGGTGGAGATGCTCACCTGGCGTTTGGAAACGCAACACATCGCATACCGAGAAACCAGCAACAAAAAAACCCACTTGACCTCCCAGGAATTTCGATCTTTGATGATGGCTGCAACAACAACAAAAATACACGAGTAGGTGCTGCCGTTTTTCTTAAAGCAATATGCAGCACACGTCCACCGCTTTTAAATTACTTGGAGCAGGAAGGTGCAGGGTTTGGATTACAGAAGCCGTTGGGTGATGTTAATGTAATTTGCTCCGAAGGGGTGTGATTGGAGGTGACACTTTGCGTGTGTGCGTGCGGGGTGGTCGTGCAAGGCCGTTTCATTCTTGGTGTAAACATTTCACGAAAAGTGTTCTCCGTAGCAAGGGGGGGTCGTGGAATCAAGTTGGCGGCGAGGCTTTGAGTTCGACGGAAGGCACCACGTTAAATATAAACTCTTCAAATTCAAGCACGCTTGATCAAACACGGTGACCTGAATATCATTGCTCATGTTTTTTTCATCTATATATATGTGTGTGCGGTTGACAGCTTACTACTCCAGTGGTTTGTGGGAGAAGATAAAAATGGGAAAAAAATAACCGCGTTTAAACTTATTTTGTTTTAGCATTTGTATTCCTGTATTTCAAGGCTGTCATCACACGTATAAGGAGCTGAGGCTGGTATTCTGAGAGTTGCCACCTGTTCTGGTTTCCCAACATCATTCGTATGTTTTAAAGGTAGCTGTTGCTGGCAAATCTGTTAAATCTTCCCTAGGACATTAAAAGTCGCGGTTGCTGCCTTTTGCGAAACCATATTCTACTCAAGACAATGCAAATGACATGCAGTTTTTTCGTTTCCGGTATTGTGCTATATTCATATTCCCAGAATATGTCTCAGTTTTTGTTGTTTAACCTATATGAAGTTATTGTCTGTAACTTACAGCGTGTAAAATTCCATCAACGTGGCCACGAGGTGGCGTTCTGTGCAGTCATTAATCGACATAATGACGCCCCTGGCTTTGGAAGTTCAGGGTCATCCTTAACGAATCTCTGTTGAAGGCAGCTGCTGGTTTCATTGTCGTTATCTCTGCCTGTCCATATTTCTCCCTCCGCACCCACCGTTTCTCATGAGCATCGTGAAGCAGGAATAGCTTTGAAGCATTTCTGGTCAATGCGTGCTGGTCTGCATTGCGGTAGCCACCCGTCAGGGTTTTCCCAGGATATCTTCCTGTTTAGAGGTAGCCGTCCTGGGATAAACCACCAACATAATTCCTGCTTTTTGTCAGTTGAGTAAGACCACACCACCGTGTGTGTATATCGTCATCCCCCTTTTTGGTATTGTGAAATATTCTTCGCATATGTCCCTGCTTGTTTTTGTATCTCAGCGGTGGCAACCTTAAATTTGGATTATCCATGGCTTTGACATTGATGTTTCGTTTTCACAGACTAACAATTAAACATCGTCACGTTTCTTCTTACTTGCATTGCTTAATGGTCGTAATCTTGCGTGTCCTTGTGGTTTGCTGATCGTGTGATTGGCTCCTGTTTGCTACGAATACTTGCAACATGCGTTTAGACCATTTAGATTACGGTATATTGCTGCTATAAATGTAAAAATTATAACCCACTGTGTTTAGCTATCATTTGTGGCCAGGTTGCTTTTAAAAAATAAGTTCATACCTCAGCGGGCTTTGCCTGGTAGGATGGGGATGATTTAATTTGTATGTGTTTGGGTTATTTGTTTACCTTTCTTGTCCTTTGCACTCCAGGTCGTGTTTTGTATTGTCTGTTGTGACGTTCTTACCCACCCCCCTACTGGACCTCTGTGAAAAGGAGCTTCTCATAGCTCATCGGCTTCGTCCAGGATAAATACATATTCTGATTCTGCAACTCGTCAAATACAAGTTGCTTCCCAAGAATCGTTGGCACATCAAGTGAAACTGTCGGAATGCAGTATTGTCATGCGATGTACACATATATGTGGCTTTCCCCCACTTCTATCAATAACATACCAGCCGAATAAAGTGCAGGACAAAGGTTCATTACGACTTAACTTTGGAGCTTTCGTGACTGCAGGAATTATTCTTTGGTTTTTTCGGTAAAGTCACGTATAAAGAAAAAATAATAAATTAAATAATAGCATACGACGTTTCGATTGCAACACAAGCAATCATCATCAGGTATAATGAAATAGCGACATAAAATCTAACCAGAAAAAATTATAGACAGACATATAAGCAGACAGATATCACCATCATCTGTACCTGTGTTGCCCGCTCTGTGTATCTTGGTGATATCTGTCTGCTTATATGTCTGTCTATAATTTTTTATGGTTAGAATTTTATGTCGCTATTTCATTATACCTGATGATGATTGCTTGTGTTGCAATCGAAACGTCGTATGCTATTATTTAATTTATTATTTTTTCTTTATACGTGACTTTACCGAAAGAACCAAAGAATGAATCATTACGACTTCTTCATCTGCAGGCAGCTTCAACCTCGATGGAGAATGAGTTTTGAATTCCCACGTGCGGCGACAGAGAGGGCATGTAATCGTGGTTTTTTTTCTATTTAACAAAGCACTCGATCTGTTTCGACTTTTTTTTTTGCAAGTCCCTGCCGATTAGAATAATGGCATTGGCTCTTTAATCAGCGGGGTTTACCCACTTTATGAATGCACCTTTACGATCTATTGTGTAACATGGCAAACACAAGCACTAACACTGTGGCCATCACATCAACTCCACTTCTCCTAGTGCAGCACTGTGAAGTTCAACATTCAACAGAATCGCAAACATTTACTTTCGATGTCATGCCGGGGTGAACAGCTTACATGCAACAATGTGGCCTTTCTAGTGGCTGAGATCCAAATAGAGGCTTTTATGTACAATATTTAAAACATCAATATGTTGTAAAACATCAGTTATTTACACCCATTTATCCACTGCATGATGAAAGCCTGTAAATGCCTTGTCAGTCGTGAGGGTTATTTGACCATACTTCACCACGTTGATCACTCTGGCATGGTCAAGGTGGGGGGCGATACTGAACCAGTTCAGCTATCACTCGCCACTGATGTCAGCTCTGGCTGTAAATCAAACTCCGTTTACATATGGGTGCAGAGTGCAGTGTGCTAACCACTGTGCCACACCTCATACATTGAAATATCATACGATAATAACAATGTATATCCCATTGTAACTTTAACACCACCTCGCTGGGCCAGTGTGGCTTCATGAAGGTAGTGTATGTCTGAAATACAATTGTACATTGCAGTGTTTGTTGCAATAATTTTTGTGTGGGCGGTGTATGGTATGAATACAGATAGGAGTGGTGTTACATTGACTAACACTTTCGAAAAACACAAGCATACCAGACAGTGCACTAAATAGAGGCATTTTTTAAATTGTAAAGTTAAAGTTCCACTGAAAATTTCCCACAGTCACAAGTCGTTCGAGTTGATTTTCCTTAATAACTCCAAAAGCCCAAAGCCGGTAATTGCGTTTGCTCACTTAATTTTCTGACCCGTCAAAGGCAAAGTATGCGTTTTAGAGCCATCCCAGTGCTGTGATGAAACCTGTGCGCTCTGTTTAAAATTGCTTGCTTAATTTTTGTTTAACAAAGGGCCGTAGACTATAGCGTGAACAGAAAATAAGATGTGCTTTATTATAATTGGTTTTTTACCCTTCTATCTGGCAACAAAACTGGTTCCAATGGTGGATGTGCTATATTATCAGCGATGTTGAAAGCTGTTTATTGATATGCACATAATAAACGTACAGCCCTTTTGTCAATGCACTGTTGGAACAGGGTCTCATAACTCCCGTGTGAATCGTGGGGGTTGTTTGACCATACTTCAGTGCGTGTTGGTGATGGGGTATATAAATAAATATAAATGTGTCGTTAAACCCGCCACCACCTGACACAGACAATTCGTCAGGGTTGTCACGTAAACAAAACATGCCAATTTGTTACGAGTTCAGCACACCGGTGTGTTGGAGAGTAAACTCAACAACATTTACAATTCGAGTACGCGATCTAACCCAAAACTATGGTTCATATTGATTGCGAAAGCCTACGCGTTAAACCGACTAACATAGACACCGTAGTCGTGCAGTGTAAAGCAGTGTGTGATGACTTCATGTATTCATTAACGTGCGGGGTGAGAGTGAATGAATGAAGACCCCCCCCCCCCAATGAAAACCCCATGCTCGCTCGCTCACGACGACCGTCGGATTATAAATTACAACGCATTCCATACTGGGTATGACTGTCACTCCGCTGCACATCATATGCGTGATGCAACTCGGGGGTTGGGGGTGGGGATGGAGAGTGGTTGGATATGGGGTCAGAAGGGTGAGCTGGCTGGGGGTGCTGGTTAAAAAGGGGCATTGGCAGTTAAGTCGAGTGGGTGGTGGTGGTGGTTGGTTGCAGAAAGGGGCAGCAGTATTTGGGGGAAGGGAAAGTTGGATGCAGCGGTCACTACGAGGTCCGTGGGAGGGAAGGGAGGAAGGGTGGAAGTTGGGGGTGGGAGATTGAGAGCTGCAGTGTGCGGGGGTTATCTGAGAGCAAAGGGAGCTGGGGGAGGGGGGTAAAGTATGGGGGTAGCGATGTGGGGGTGGTGCACACTGCCGAACACGTTTCTGGCCCATTCGGGCACGCGCGGCCTCATGTGACCCGGGTCTTGGTCGCACATACAATGTTCAGGAATTCTGGCCTGCATATCGATGACATCTTCCTCCAGCAACAGGGAATGTACTCATTTCTGCTTTAGCTTCGAAAGTAAAGCTCGCTCTCTCTAGATTTGAAGCTTTCGTGACTGCAAGGATTTATACTCTTTGTTCTTTCGGTAAAGTCACGTAGGTAAAAATTAAATAAAAATTAATAAAAATAAAACAATAAAATCACATGGATTAGAGTAAATGTGATTTTATTGTTTTATTTTTATTAATTTTAATTTCATTTTTTACCTACGTGACTTTACCGAAAGAACTAAGAGTATACTCGCTCTCTCTCTCTCTCTCTCGAGCCTTGAAGAAGGCCACGAGGTTGTTGAAGCTAATGTGTTGAAAGGCTTTGGGAAGATTTTCCAAATGTTGTTTGCATTATACAGGGCACCGTGGGACGGCTGCTTGCGTTGTGGCCGAAACGTCGTGAGAATTGTATTTTATTATGTTTTATTATTATTTTATTACTTCCCTTCTACGTGACTTTACCGAAAGAACCATGAAGATGAATCCCTGCAGTCACGAAAGCTTTAAATCGAAATTAAAGTTGTAAGATATTACCAACGTGTGACAATCTGCTACAAATTTGGACATTAAAGATCCCACAATGATTCAATGCACAATAATGAATTGTTAGCTCGTGCCACAGCCCCCCAAAAGAAATCTCAACCCTCTCGTCCATTGTGTCTGCTGTCGTGGACTGCTTTGGATATAAGTTTCGTTGCGCGAAATGACACCGACTTTCTCGTTATTTTTGTTTGTTGTACTACGATTTTATATTAACACAATTAATCTATATTAGGGACTTCTTTTGTCTCCTAATATCACGGCCAACGAATGCGTTTGCTTTTAATTCATCCAAAAGAGGGGAATTGTCAAGATTATGTTTATCTCATTGTGTACTTTTGCAAAAGAAGCAACATCCTTTCTTTAATTCTAGATTTGAAGTTATCGTGACTGCAAGGATTCATACTCTTTGGTTTTTTAGGAAAATGTTTAAATAAATAAAATAGAATGAAAGCAACACAATTAATAAAATTAATTATTATTTTAGTTTTCATTCTATTTTATTTTTTAAAATTTAATTAAGTAAATTTAAATTTTAGTTGTTTTCATTCTATTAATTTTTTTTACCTACGTGAAATAAAATAGAATGAAAACAACAAAAATTTAATTTTATTTTAGTTGCTTTCATTCTATTTTATTTTTTACCTACGTGACTTTACCGAAAAAAACCCAAAGAGTATGAATCCTTTCTTGAACCAGGTGAAATCTAGGACAAGTGTCACAGACTCTCTGGGTTATGACATGTTGGGTGCATTTGTTGGTTTTCTCCCGCAAGTAAAATGTAACTGTCATAACATTTTAAATGTGACCTTTCTGACAAGCAGTCTTGCCACGCTCAGTAAGTATCGTCTCCCTCCCACGGCCCGATAAAACACATCTTTGTAAATAATGTCAAACTACTAGTCTAACTGCATGCTCATACATTTTTCAGTACGATCTCGAGCCAGCAATGTAAGTTCCACGTTCCCGTGACAAGCACTCGCATTTCAGACAATCACCAACCCGGGAAACGATTTGAACTCGAAGACCCATCAAACTTCTGTGTTTCTGCTACTCCAGCAACCGAGCGATGTCCCAGCAGCCAGGGCAATAGTGCAAAGCTTGAACAAACGTGCACGCAACTAACCAATCAATATCATAACCCACTTACAAGCCATGCCTTCCTGGTGCCCTATATTCCTTATGCGCCCATTCATTCAGGCGCCCGCCACTTCACCCACATATCCCCGCCCCTCACCCACATAGCCCCGCCCCTCACCCACATAGCCCCTCCCCCCTCCCCTCACGAAGCCCCGCCCACTTACCAAGTAGCCACGCCCATTTAACCGTCAAATCCCCCCCTCCGCCCACTGACCCCACAACAACAGCGCGGACCAATGAGAAAGCTCGGCTGGTTTGTGACGTTGCCGTGCGCCGACCAATAAGCGGCTGGGTCTCGGGCTTGTTGAATGCTGGTCAAGTTTCGATTATTTAGTTTGCACCACGCAGGATATTATGCCAAAGTATACAATTTACGTAATAACTATACACGTATATTAATCGAAAATGACTTCTTACAAGTGGATTCCATACGCATATCGTCGGCATATTCACGTATTTTAAACGATTAATCGAATGATTAATCGATTACTCGAACGATTAATCGATTTGTGTGTGTCAACTTAACGGGTATAAAACGAAAACTTTAAACCTAAACTACCGTGCCGACGATGCGGCTCTTTTTCAGAAGCGACTATGTCCACAAATGATCGCTGAACCTTGAAGTGGCTTATATCTTTAAAGCTTTCGTGACCGCAGGAATTCATATTTTTGGGGTCTTTCGGTAAAGTCACGTAGATAGAAAAATAATAAACACTACTTTTAGTAGTTTTTTTACACAAAGAATATGAAGTGGCTTATCATGTCAACATTTATAGCAGCCACTCTATAAGCGCATGTTCATGAAGAAAACCCCACGCAATAATAATACGTTCGCTAAATGCCCACTTAAGACGGCAGAACTTTGCCTAAACGGCGCCAAAGAGCAATTTTAAATAAAATCGACTTTAACAATTCATGATGAACTCCAAGATTTAAATCGATTACTAGTCGATTGGCGCGCGCCAGGATAAAGTAGGCGGGGCCTCACGTGAGAGGGGCGGGGCGTCACGTCGGGGGGGCGGGGCGTCACGGAGGTGGGGGGTGGGGGCGGCCCCCCCCCCGGGTCAGGGCCCCCAAGTGGCTTCACAAGCAGCGCGCGCGGAGCGAATGAGTGGAGGTGGTGGGGGGAGGGGCCTCACGTGCAGGAGTGACGCTGCGGAGGGAGGAGCCTTAGTTCAAAAGGGGGAGGGGCTTCGCGTTTAAAGCTCCTCAACGGGGGGGGGGGGCTCCAAGTGGTGAGCGGTTGGGGGGGGGCGTGGCTTCGTGGATAGTGTGAGGCGAGGGGCGGGGATGCGGGGGGACCTGGGTTGTGAGTGGACGCGGGGGGTGAGGGGAGGGGTAGGGGGGGTGAGGGGCGGGGTAGGGGGGGTGAGGGGCGGGGTTGGGGGGGCGAGGGGCGGGGTTGGGGGGGCGAGGGGCGGGGTAGGGGGTGCGAGGGGCGGGGTAGGGGGTGTGAGGGGCGGGGTTGGGGTGTGAGGGGCGGGGTTGGGGGGGTAAGGGGCGGGGCTGGGGGGGCGCGTGTGCGTACGGGCCGATCCTCGCGCTCAAAATGGCGCAACTGAGCTGCGGCGGTCTCCGCGTTTCCGTGGCGGCGGCTGCGGCCACAGCGGCCGTAGCTGCCGCAGGCGGCCAGGGCCACGGCCACGGAGTCGGCAGTGTCGGTAGCGGAGCAGGAGGAGGAGGCGGCGGCAGCGTTAATAGCAGCGGTGGCGGCGGTGGTGTTAGTATCGGCGGTAGTAGCGGTGGTGGTGGTGGAGGCGGAGTGGCCCCCTCGGCGCTTGGCCCCGCGAAGCGCAAACGCGCGCACCACGACTACAAGAAGCTGAGCAAGGCGGGATACCTGGACAACAACAACAGCAGCGGCGGCGGTAGCAGCAATAGCAGCAGCAGCGGCGGCAGCAGCAGTAACAACAACAACAACACGAATAACAACAACAACAGCAGCAGCAGCAACGGCGCCTTGCTGACAGCGGTGGTGGCGGCAGCGAGCGCCGAGGCAGACGCGGGCGGCGCCACGGGGCCGCTGGGCGCTATCAAGCAGCAACAGCAGCAGCAGAAGGCGAAGAGGAAGAGGGAGGCGACGGAGAAGCCCCACAGGGTAGTGAAGGACGGCGGCGGAGATCCACAACCACCACCGCCGCCACCACCACCGCGGCCACAGCACAAACTTAAAGGTGAGGACGTCTCGCTCCCCCCCTCTGCATTTGGTAGAGCACACGCGCGCCGCGCTCTATTTACGCGGCTCCCATTGGCTGACGCGGCGCACGCGGGGGGCCGAGCTGCGCGCTGATTGGTCGTTGGCTGAGTGTCGACCAATGGGAAGCGGCGATTCGCCGCGCGTTGTTTATGCGAACTATGCAATGTGGACGAGTTGCGTGCGGCCCGCGTGTGATGGTGTGTTGTTGTTGGTGGTGGTGGTGTTGTTGTTGTTGTTGTGTTTATTGGAGTCTTTGTAATGTTGACATTGTGATGTTGGTTGCACGCGCAGAGTGATGGGTTAGAGGTGGATTGTGCGTTGCGTGTCGAGCGAGCGACGGCCACGCGTTAGGGCGCTGTGTGGGTTGCACAGTTCCTGTTTGCGTCACTCTCCTCCTTCACTTTCTTTAACAAATGCTGGTTGCTGGATGATGATGATATTTGGTTGGAATGCCAATAGGCCGATGGACTTTTGCACGTTTATTTTCGCGTAGATGCGTAGCCGTTCCGTGAATGTATTCCTTAACGCAGTAAGAATAAACAGTCTGCCTCGGCAGCAGCAGGCCACGCTTTCCCACCTGATGACGGACGCTTGTGTTGTGCCCGAAACGTCGTGGTTGGTTTTATTTTAATACCTCTACGTGACTTTTACCGAAAGAACCACAAAGAGTATGGATTGCTGCAGTCACGAAAGCTTCAAAGCAAGATTGTGCGCGTGTGTGTGTGTTTTGAAGGACAAAAAAATCGGAGTAAAATTATGCATCTCGTGTGCGCTGATGTTGTGGGCCAGATGAAAGCCCTCTCTTTGTGCGAATAGTTCAGGTTTCTTTGTATGGAAGAAACCTCAACCGTGTGAACTGGGATGCACAGAGACGTGTAAGGCACACGCCAAGGATGCGAATATAGAAAAAATCCCAAACACATAAATGTGCATTTCATACTTGCTGCATGCCAAATGTACCCCACAACATTAAGTCATCTGTAAATATGATGGGAGACACCAGGTTTTTATGTGCGTTTACTAACTTTGCACAAGTTACGTTTTGCTGCTGTACTGCAACAGTGGGGGAATTGATTGGTTGGGCTTGTGATCAATTTACGTGCAAATAGGTAACGTTTTGCGAATAGAAGTATACTTTATTCAACTATTCAAATCAAGGATACAACAGGTTTGGCATGCAATCATTATACTTTACTACATCTTAACACCACTCCTTTACACTCAGTGATTTGTTCACAGTTCAAAGGTATAAACAAACTAATTCTAGATTTGAAGCTTTCGTGACTGCAAGGATTCATATTCTTAGGTTTTTTCCGGTAAAATCACGTAGGTACCTACGTGACTTTACCTACGTGACTTTACCGGGAAAAACCTAAGAATATAAACAAACTAAAAAACAAAACTAGTTAATGCCAAGCGAGCCCTTACCGGGTGAAGATTTCCAACTTCCACGTTTCATCAGCATTGCCTCTAAAATACCACAAACATCCACACACACACAAAAACCCCATAAGATTTAACCAATACAAATCAAGCGGTCCTGGTAGAGATACCACCTAGAACCATGAGGTCCTTGGGGCTTGTTAAACAACACAGGCTTGAAGCTCCGTCGGTGAGAATACTTTAATAAGCGCGTTCAAACGCGCACTCCTCGCGTGTTTTCGTCGTCCTGGAATTAAAGCTTCAAAGCCGTGTTTGACAGCCTGTTACTACACGGGGTCCTATTTAGTGTTGACAAGGTTTAGTGTTTTTGTGCGTATTTAGCCTTTTCATTTAAAGCTGCGGAATTGTTTATGCTGCATCCCTTAAGCCACGTCTCTAGCTGCCTTGCCAGCGTTTGCCCAGTAAAGTCAGATTTTTGAGTGCTTTGGTTTTATTTTCACGAATGGAACTCGATTGATTGGCGTGTTAGAACCGATTTTGAGCCTCCCCTTTCACCAAACCTTCCTGGCCAGCTTCGTTAAGTATGGTCAAACAAACCACCATGACAGACATTGTATTGGGGGGGGGGGGGGGGGGGGCTCCATCCAGTAGTAGGAAGGAAGAGGGCAATCGACATAGATAATTGTTATATAATTTTACCGACTGTAGTGGTAGCAAAGGCACATTTTTCACTTGTCGTTTTGTTATTTTCTTGGAAAATAGACCAAGTGACCATAGGGAATTCTGTGCATAATACATATCCTGATTACTCTTGGAAAAGTGACCCATTATATTTATAATGAATGGGTCACATTACATCACGTTACATTATGCACGTCCTTTATATATTGTATGATTTTTCTGTTTTCCGAGTGGTAGGAGGAAACCGCATTGGCTGGGGAAAACGCACGTGTATTAGGGAAGCTTCCAAACTTTTCTCGCTCGACTCTTCATCGATATCGGCGGGGAATAAAGATCCTTCTTCTGGTGGTGGGAATAGTGGAATGGATTTCGATTGTAATTCCAAGGTATAATATATAATTTGTGCAGGGTAATAGTATGAGTCTCGAGGTGCAAGCAAAGCGTAACTCATAATACACACAAAGGCACGGATGGTGTTGCTCTTAAGATATACTAAATGCTTTTCAACTGAGGTTGAAAGAATGTATGCATTAGCTTTGTCCATCTGTCTATCTTTTTTTGCGGGGTGGGTCACGTGAACTCTTGTTAAGATGATTCAGTATGTTCTAAACTGTACAAAAAAAAAGCAGTGTTGCTATAATCAAATTAACCCGATAGAAAACTGGCCAAATTGACCAAATAGGTTGCCAAAACCTTGGGAGACGCGATTTAAGGACAAGCACGTGTTGCAAAGCGTTGCAGAGAACCTGTATATGCATAATGTGTCCGTGTTTTAATTATAATTGCATATGTGCTGCCTTGGTCGTGCATTAACATTGCGCATTGTTTCAACCACGTTTACATTGGGCACCGTTCAGCGTTTGGTAATTGCTGTGGCTTTTTGTTGACGTGTCTGGGTTATTGTGTTGATCATGCATTTACGGGCATAGGATATGCTTGATTTCAATTCTTAAGTAATTAATGAAGGCATATTCAAACGCAACAAAGTAACCAACAAAATTAACCTTATTAGTGACCCATTTACCTTAACTAATGGATGCCCATTGCAAAATATACATTGTAGTGTATCAAGATCGACACAGATATAACGTGGTTTAATATAATTGCCATACGACACAAACTTTGTGGGTAAAGTTAGATATTTTGTAAACTCAATGTACATTTTGTAACCAAAAAATTAAGCATGCGGAAATCGTAAAACGGGCATTTTTTTTAAACTTTTAAAGTGAAAATTTGAACGCGTGATTTTTAGCAGTTGAATGATGTAGAATTGTATATACGTATAGGAATTGGGGTAACTGGATTTTGAAGTGTGCTCGTACTTGTTTTAGGTAAAGATGCAATGATTAGAGCAAGACCCCATATACTGTACTCTGGAATGTTGTGTAGTGATAATGCAGCCAACACTGATTTATTTTACAATAAAAGGCAATTTATACAAATGAATGTTTTACAGTAAAATAATTAAGTTGACAAACTGTACTTGTGTTCTTTAAATGATTCATGTTAAATACATTTCCAGCAATTTACTTAGAGTATTTTTTTCGACTGTTCTATATTTAATCTTGTCTTATTGCAGATGTAAGATAAAATAGGCAGTTGAAGTAAATATTTGATGTTATCTTCTAAGTTTTCTCTCGCATAAATCAAATGGAATATTTCAGTAATTATATTTTAACATTTTAAAATTAGATGTATGACCGTTCATTATATGAAAGGTTAGTCTGCTTATGGTGATACATGGGGAATTTTATACAGTTTTCCGTGGTATATTGGCCAGTTCTACATGATTTGAAGTTTCAGAAATTCCACGTGGTCAACATGAGTAATATTTCTATTTGTCAAACAAATCTCCCAAGGAGAAAATGTAGACGTGCGTGGAGCATTTTGTGATGTAGTCAAGTTGGTTATTACAGTAAATACAAATCTCTCAACAGTTCTTGATAATTGAAGTTATTACACTATGAACATATAATTTCTGCAACACATGAAACGTTTTTATTATTTCACTTAATCTGTTAATTACACACAATTACAACTCAACTGTGAGACGTTAACTACTCCATGCTTTTGTTGTTGTATGTAACCTAATGCAGTATCTGAAATCAAATTGATAATGGAGCTATGTAATGCTTCCATGAACACTTGCATTTTTTTTACAACCCATTACAAAGGGAATTGCATATTGCTTAAAGCTTCAGTTTTATGCTATTATGTTTAAATATGTACATTTCAGTAACCATGTGAGCACTGAGCCAATACCACAGACCCGATTGCAAGTTGATGGTCTCAGCCTTGTCACCGTACCAAAGCCACCATATTAATATGGTTATTCTTTACATTTACTTAAAGTTCTAGCTTTGAGAATTACAAATATTTATATCGGCTTCACTGCCGTGCTGTATAAATGTTTCCCTGTAGCAGGAGTTTTTGGGGAAGTGTGCCCTAGTTTCTGGATAAAAGTTCTATGATATCACCTTCCACGGGCAACTATCCAACACATGGTTGCACTACGTTGCTATAGTTCCAAATAGATATTTTGTCTCGGGACATGATACCAATACAATTGTGTAAAGAACAATACATGTCTTACAGTATAAATATCTGCTTAATAATCATTACAATTATTTCAGTGCTGTGTAGAATCACCCTTAAAGTCTTCGTATTTTTTTGGTGGTATTTCTTAACAAAACGTTTCCCATGAACTACGCAAAGATTTATGACACGACAATATTTTCGTTATAATATTTAACCCTCTATTTTTGATGCTTAGTAAAAGTGGTCTAATTCCATGTGCATCCAACGTGCAGTTTGAAAAAAATGCGTACAGTATATAATAAGCAGTTAATACCAAAATTGCATATTTAAATCCTCGGGCCTTAATATATATTTGATAAGAATTTGTTTTATTAA